TAAGACCTAAACTAAATTGGCTAAGACATAGTCTTAACTAATAGACAGGCGACACATAACTTTAAGTTTATTCACTTGGCACAATTTCTCTAACCGTTTACAAATCAATCAAGAACACCTGGCCCTTAACAAGTCAACAGACCAATACGTTTGCGGATATTTATGGGAAGTAAGTTTTTACAAACAACTTTTTAAGGGGCTACAAATAGCGGGTCTTTCGGAAACAATTTTTCTACTCCCTCGGAGTAGGGATAAGATTTGCGTACACATTACCCTTTCCAGACCCGATTAGTAAGATTTTACTGGGTGGTCGTTATTGTTGTTTCTAAGGGGCTACAAAGGGTATTGTTATCTCGCTAATCTTTATGTATGTAGGTGATTGCAGTTTTGCATATGTTGGTTGAGTTTGACAATTTATATGGTAGTAAACTTAAATCGAGTCGTTGTATAGAGATCTTCCGCTTTAGCCGATTTGCCAGAATTTGATCCACAACTTTTTCGGCCACATGATATAAAAACATCACCAAAATTTAAGGAGGGGAGGTACGTGATATAACTTGATACAAAATAAATTAATATTGAAATTGATGATTAGAGAATAAATACAAATCACACAAATTGAATAACTTTGGGTTTTGAGTTTGATCACCCTCGAACCAAAAAATGCCTCAACTAATTTAAGAACAGGATAACAAGATGATAAGAGCTACAAATAACAGTGTATTACTTTTTGCTACATATTACAATATCTTTTACAAATGATCAAACCTCCCTTTATATAGTAGGGGAGTTCTACTCTTGAGGTAACCAATCTCGTGATTTGCTAATTGATCGGCCTCTCCTTGATACGTGCCGAAATTTCTGCCGTGATCTTCAACCGATCTCGGATATTTCGGCCTTCTGTTATTTGGCTCGACAAAGTTCCCTCGATCTTGTTCGGTCATGGAGTCACGAGCTCAACAATTTAACTTCGCGCCTTGGTTCGATATAACCCGCGCTCGAGCTTTGACCTATCACGTTTCAACCTCGGCTGGTCATACAATGGACGAACCCGGTTTCGACCGTATATAATATTTTAGTTATTTTTGAAACAAGTGCTTCCATATAATTCAAATGGTCATACAACAGCATATCCAGTGAATCCATAAGTGGGGTCTGGGAGGATAATGTGTACACAAACATTACCCCTATATTGTGAAAACTGAGACGTTGTTTCCGATAGACCTTCAGCTTAAGGAAAGCATAATTTCAGCAGTCATGAGAAAGAAATACAGTTGTGGAGAAGCCACGAAAAAAGAAGCAATAACAACAACAAGAAAAAGAAAAAAATCGAAGCAAAAAATAATAGGTAGTAGTAGAAAACTAAGAATAAGAAAATACGGGAGTAGTACTAATACTACTAGTATATGGGGAAGAAAAACATGCGACTACCTACTAACTTACTACCTTAATTCTCGACATTTACACCCTCCTATCAAGGTCATATCCTCAGTAAGCCGAAGATGTGTCATGTCCTACCTAATCACGTCTCCCCAATACTTTTTTGGCCTACATATGCCTCTCCTTAGACCTACTATTTCTAATCTCTTACACATCCTCACTAGGATATCAGTGCATCTCCTCTTCACATGTTCGAACCACCTCAATCTCGCATCTTGTCCATTACTGAGGTCACTCCCACCTTGCCCCATATATCCTCATTCCTAATCATATCTCTCCTAATATGCCCACACATTCATCTCGACTTCTTCATTTTCACTACTTTCTGTACATGAAATTCTTTGCTGGCCAACACTTTGTCCCATACAACATCACTCTATATAACTTACCTTTAAGTCTTAGTAACACATTCTTATCACACAAGACCCCTGATGCGAACTTCTAGTTTATTCACCCCACTCCAATACGATGTGTGACATCATCATTATTCTCCGTATTACCTTAAATTATGGACCCAAAATACTTGAAACTTCTTTTATTGGGGATGACTTGTGTATCAAGCCTCGCTTTCATGTCAACCTCATGAGTTACTTCATGGAACTTACTCCTCCAAGTATTCTGTTTTGGTTATACTATATACTAAAATTTGGTTTTCAACTCATTCAAAAAGAAATTATTTTATAAGTTTATTATAAAATCTATCCTACATTATAATCCTTGCATTATTAACCATGCATTCCAATCCTTACACAGCTTGCTTCTAGACCAAACAATCCCTTACATATCGACAAAATAAACATAAACTTGTCGTATTTGTATTGAATGAAGCTTCTAATTTTCAATACACAATAACTCCGTATCAGTTAGACTGTCACTAGATCCCAAAAAAAGGAATAAAGTAATTCGTTCTAGCAATCACCATAGAGTTGAGTCATGATCACTCCCGAATAGTGTTGGCAAATGGGCGGGTTGGGCTGAATTTGGACGGGTCAAGATGGATTAGGTTAATAAATGGGTTATTGCCCAACTCAGCTCAAAGTGTACTTGGGCTAAGATGAGTTGGGTCAAGATGAGCTAAACAATGAGTCATAACCCAACCTGCCCAACTTAACCCATATTTTAGAACCATGCTCATCTTGCATAAAAAAAATTNGGAGGGTAGTGTGTACGCAGACCTTACCTCTACCCTGGGGTAGAGAGGCTGTTTCCAAATAGACTCTCAGCATCCTTCCCTCCAAGAACTTCCCACCTTGCTCTTGAGAAGACTCGAACTCACAACCTCTTGGTTGGAAGTGGAGGTTGCTTACCATTAGAGTTACCCCTCTTGTCTACAAAAAACAGAAAATTAAAAATACAAAAAAAAAGTAAAATTTTTTTTGAGGGGAGGGTTTTGCGGGGGTGGTGGGTGGGGTATGGATGGTGCAGAAAAACAAAAAAACATAAAATTGAAAATACAAAAAAAAAAAAGTAAAATTGGGACAACTAAATAAATTTCTATATAAGTTGGGTTGATATACCTTTTGTTTTGGGTGAGTTTTATGGGTTGTATTTGGGCTGCTTAATGGGTCAGAATGGGCTATAAAATATAATGAGTTAACTTGGGCTCAGCCCAAATTAACCCATGAACTAAAATATTTATAACCCAACCCATTAATCTCTGGGCGGGTTGGGCGGGTTAGATGTGTTTGGGCTCAAATTGCCACCCCTACTCATGAACACTCTGTTTTAAAAGGCATAATTGGGACTCGCTCGGGGCTCGCCTCGGGGCAGAGCATTTATAAAACGCCCTTGGGCTTATGTGTCGGGCTTAATTCCGTGAGGCTTACGCCTCGGCCGTTGGGGCTTACGCCCCGGACACGCCCAACGCCCAGCGTACTGGGCTCGCCTAATAGAAGTTTATGCAATTGAGTGTAACCAACCTTGTAAATGCACAAATTTTCTTAATAAATCGTTGACTATTCACAATTACGTTTTTCTTAATCATAAATCGTTAAGTTGAGAGTATTTTATGTCATAATTAAAATAAAATTTTTTGCACGTTATCCACTAAGACTGCTATGATAGTAAATTTAAATAAATCTTTCATTTAAAAAATATTTATTTATTAACTTTTGTTATGTCTTTATTATATAATAGTCCATAATTGTTTTATAATTATTTTTCTAAATATTATTTTTTTCATGTTTACGTGATACAATGCTTATTTATTTAATAGCTTATTATTAGCTATTAACTATTTACAAATAATTAGTTATCATGGTATTGCATGGTGAATTATGTGTCACTTTAACTTGTTGAAACTTAAAAATAAATGATGCTAGAGAATCATATTTAAATTGTGAATAATATTTTTATTATAAATTCTCTTTCAAATAGAAAGCATATTAAATAAAAGGAGTATTTTATAAAAAAAATATCAAATTATAATATCGAAATTCTTTCAAGATTCATTACTCCTTAAGAGATACGTATTAAATTTCGTATCGAATACATTACTTTTAATGTTTGAGTTGTAACGACATTGCAGCTAATCTGCATATTATGATATATGCCATACTTTCGTATTATTCATGGTTGAATTATAATTTATAAATATTTTAAATAGATTATTTATTATAATTTTTTGATTTTAATGTAATTTTTATAATTATTTTTGTTACTTTAAACTATCTTAAAATTCTTGAAATTAGTAAAATTTAAAGATTCGTGGGACTTACGCCCCATATCTCAGGGCTTATGCCTCGCTTCATCAGAGGTAAAACGCCTCGCCTCACGCCCCGCCTTTTAAAACATTGCATGAACATATCATTTATTTCATCAAAAAGATCCTTTTTAGTCGTTAAGGTGAACTCTGTCATAGAAGAGTTATCACGAAAAAATGTTTATAAACCCGGACAAGCTATTCTAAACAAAAGATTCAACAGTTCTAGTGAGTTTTTTTTAGAAAGAAGTGTTTGTTTGAACTGTTATTGCCATTTCTTATGAATTTGCAAACTCTATTTTTGGAAACTTCAGAAAAAGAAAAACCGCCTAAATGTGCTTCTTCCGAGTACGAAAGCTGAACGGAGACACTAACTCATTGTTTGCAATCTACAACAACTACAAAAAGCCAAGTGTAATCCCATAAATGAAGTCTGGGGAGGATAGTATGTACGCAGACCTTACCCCTACCTTATAAAGATCGTTATTTGCAATATCTTCATATTAAATTCCCTCGAAGTCTACAGTTGAGTAACAGAGTTTCCACATAACACAACTAAGACTGAAATGATTAAACCAAATGGAATCTCAAGGAGTTGCTTGTTACCTTGCATTACTGTTGATCAGTAAAAGTCTGTATTATCACCAAATCCTCTATTTTTTTCCTCTCCTTTTTTTTTTTTGAGTCCATATGTATTCTTATAAATCAGGTCTGGAATGCTAACAGTTACTGTACAAAAGTTTCCAAAAGGATAGCCAGGTTCATTAACAACACAAGAAGACAGAATCACCAGTGATTCCATATCTTGTATCCTTTTGCATACTTGAAGAGAATAAAAAGGTCTTTGACAACAAAAATGTAAAGTTGTAACCTACATGTATAACATGCAGACCAATTGAACCATCTCAGTAAAGCCACTAAAAATGGAAGTACTACAAATGCTGATGAACAAAACTATAGCAAATGCAAAAAGATGTGATTTCCACATACAATGGCTCCACTGCATAATTACCCTTGTTCTCAAAGAAACAATCTTCAGGGAAAATCCAAGCCACCAAACAAAACTTTGGACATCAAATCCCCACTGAAACAAAACCAATGGGCTCAAGGAGCTCCATAAGTTCATGTATCATGAAAAAATTCGATACGCCTCGCCCTTTCTAATCCCAATTGTCTCCGCCCGTTCATTTGCCCATAATTGTACTATGGCAATCATACACTGAGAATGTTCCAGGATAATTTGAATACGCTTTGAAACATCAAAAGCAAAAAGAAGAAATTAGAAACAATAACATGGCAAACAAATGTCCACCGTGAGAATGCCCATCATCGACAAGTACATAACACATCAGTAGAACAGGTCATGAACAAATTTATTCAAAGCATAACATGAGCTAGACGCAACCACACAGAAGGAACCATGGAAACTTAGTTAAAGGAAATCTACTTAAATGAAGTAAGAAGGCTCAATTATGGTGGATCTTCAATTATCTTCTCCAATATATCTGTATTAGTGAGAAGGCTCCTTTATGGTGGAACTTCAATTATTTCCTCCAATATATCTGTATTTGTGAGAAGGTAGTTTCTCAACTCTTGCAGCTCCGTACATGTAAAGTTGTTCAATTTAACTTTCTTTAGTTCATGCCTCCAACATTTCCAAGGCATCGATGCACAACAAGGTTTCTCGTCTTCATCATCAGCTGCATCTCTGGATGTAAACTACAAAACCAAGAAAACCATGACAGAAACAAAGGTAATAAGTATCTCCATGAACAATCAATCATGAAACTAATATAGAAAGGTTAACAGTCACTGTGAGGGAAGGGGAAGTTCATCGAATTAGGTATATCAAAATATTGTTCAGTTCAAGCAGGTAAGACATGCATACGTCCCTGCTTTTCCAGTATTATGAACTAAATTCTTGTGTTTATATTGTTTCTTGAAGTTGACCAAGCACACAACAACAATAAAAATAACCACCACCACCACCACCACCACAACAACAACAATAACAACAACAATAATAAGTACTAGAATTCTCTATATTTTCAAATGGCATGTACATAAATCTCCGATAGGATTAAAAGACTCCTAATAAACATAAGACCTAAACTAAAGTGGCTAAGACATAGTCTTAACTAATAGACCGGAGACACATAACTTTAAGTTATTCATTTGGCGCAATTTCTCTAACAGTTTACAAATCAATCAAGAACACCTTCCCCTTAACCAGTCAACAAACCAATACGTTTGCGGATATTTATGAGAAGTAAGTTTATACAAACAACTTTCTAAGGGGCTACAAAGGGTTTTGTTACCTCGCTAATCTTTATGTATGTAGGTGATTGCAGTTTTACATATGTTGGTTGACTAACTATCAGTTGGCTAATCTGCTCATAATTGTACTATTAGGTAAACAAAAGATCTTAAACCAAGTATGAAGGTTTTGTCACAAAAAAAAGAAAAAAGAAAAGAAATCAAAGGCATGTAAAAAAGGGAACTAACTGCCAGAAAACCACACATAAAGAATAAAGGTGCAAGAAACCTTACCTTCAGGGTCTTTAAGTCTTCAGTCCCGCAGCCAAAATATAGGCTGTCCAGTTGAGGAGAAATCCAAAGCAAACTATCCACAACGTCCACAACTGAATGATTCAATGGATTCATAATTGTTACACGCAAACACTTAGCATCATAAAGTGGAGGAAGCAAGTTCTCTCTCATGTCTTTTGGTATAACTATCTCCTGCACAAACAAAAAGAAGAACTATGAGAAATCCAGAACCACGTCTTCAAGCAGGGGCAAGTAGATAAAGTGTTGCACGTACGTACCTTGTCATTCTCACAGCATAGAGTGATAGCATTGCAATGATTAAAGTTACCAAGAGACTTTATCAGCTTAGAGTACCAAGGATTGTCAAGGGTTTCTGGGATCAAACAGAGACAAGCTTCCAGCAGATTTGAAGCTTTCAGATTGAATGTGGGCAAGGGATCAACAGTATCTTCTCCATAACGAACATCAGATAAGAATCCTAGTAAGTTAGGAGTATCTAAATCAACCTCAATCAGATTATTGCACGCAGTTACTTGGAAATACTTGAGCCGATCACTTGATATATTCACGGTCTTCCACAACGAACAACAAGATAAGTGAAAGATTTCAAGGTTGGGTATATTTGGAAGAAGCTCCTCTAACCATTGGTCAGTGACAGCCTCAACAGTCAAGAGCTCCAAATGCTTTAGGGATTTGCAAGCAGTTATCTTAATTACATGTAGGTCCTCACAAAAGGAGCTAATTTCAAGGTCTTTAAGATTAGGCGCTGCAATATCAACCATCTGGAATTGATCTGGGCAATCTTCCAAATATACCGCCCTTAGTTTAGGTAAAGTTCCTGCTACTTGTAAACTGATTGGTCCATGAAATCCACTTAAAGACAAAACTTCTAAATTGCTACAGCTTGCGCATAGAGCTTGAAGTAATTGCTCGTCCAGAAACGATTCAGCAAGGTATAACTCTCGCAAAGATGAAAATTTTACGCCATCAGAGGGTAGTTCGAGCTTAAATCCGCCTAAACGAAGCATGTTTAGAGCTTTGGCAGCAAAGATTGCTTCAGGCAACTTGATGTAAGTGTGTGTGCGTTCAACCTCTATAGACAACTCTTTGATATTACAGGCTACCAGTATATTAATCCAATTATCCACATAATTAGAGGTTAACGAAGCATATGGTAACTTTACCATGAACTTTCGCACAGAAATGTTCTGCTTTTGCCGATCTGCTAGAATTCGACTCACAATGTTCTTTGACTTGCTGAAAATATCATCACCAAAATTTAAGCAGGAAAGGGAAGCCCAAGCACTGTTCCAAGCCTTGGACAATGTACTAGTGTTCAGAGCATCTTTAACAACAAGTAAAGACTGAATGTGCTCCAAAATCGACACTGGCAGTTCCGAAATTTGATCTGTCCCTTCCATCCCTTCCATTGCTGCCAAAATTTCTATAACACTTTAATACAGAATAAAAATAAAGAATAGGAGTATATATGTGACACATACATCTTAAACATATTAGTGAAAGGATTGGAGAAGTATAAGGAAACGGAAAGTTCCCTTCCAAAACCACGCTGTTAAAGGATTTAGGTAAGTGTAAAAGCCAAACCCTACAAGAATAAGGAAAGCTAGGAGCAAGAGGAAGAATTATTTATTTCTATTGTACGAGGGAATGGAAGGGAAAACAAATGAGTTTGCAGCATGCTCACTTTGAATCGAAATGATGTCATTTGCAATAATCCACATGAGCTAACCCTTAGGGGTTGGCCTGGTGGCAATTGACTTGAGCCTTGGGGTTTGCTCCCTTTCAAGGTCTCAAGTTCGAAACCCACTGGGTGCAAACAATTTCTGAGGGCCATTGGATTGGGTAAAACCTGAATTAACCGTGGCGCACTTGCGAGAAACTCCTTGTCGAGGGCCTGTGCACCCCCGGGATTAGTCGAGGCTCTTAGAGACTCGGACACCCTGTGCAAATCAAAAAAATAATCCACATGAGCTTTTAGTGGGTTAAAATTATTTAAGTTTTTCCCAATTTTGCTTAAATCAGATTCCTGCTTCAACTTCAAACGATAATCATTCTTCCTCTCTTTTATCAATGTTTATTTTGTCCTTTAAACTATCAATCATCATCTATGTAAATTATTTTTGTATTATAATATTTTAATAAACTTTTTCACAGTACTTTGGATATAATTAAAATGATGTCAAACTATATTATAATTTTTTTAAGTCATTCAAAATATATAAATTGAAATTACTTTANCCCCCCCCCCCTTTAAATTCAAACTTTCGAGATATAATTTTTAGTTTTTATCACCGATGACATTACTTATGTTAAAATTTATTAGAAATATTAAGTAATTTCATTAGTGAAAATCAACATTAAAAAATATATCAACATTAACAGAAAATAAAAGCGGGACTTGGAGAGGTTCGAAACTCAAATATGTAATGCATATAATATTAATTTAATATAACAGCCCAGTCCACTAGTGATATTGTCCGTTTAGGACCTAGGTCCGCAAGGCTTTAAAACGCGTCATCAGAGTCTAAAGTTTGTCTACTTATATACCCAGTATTTCTCCCGTGTTTTGTCGATGTGGGATTCGCCTAGGGTGTCACATACACCCTCCGTAGGAACTCAACGTCCTTACTAAGGTTTGATCTCCATCGTTCAAGATTGCACGCAGAGTGACTTGGATACCATGTGTAACAGCGCAACCTACTAGTGATATTGTGCGCGTAGGGACACGGCGTCCTTACTAAGGTTTGCCCTCCATTGTTCAAGGTTGCACGTAGAGTGGCTCGGATACCATATGTAACAGCGTTAGGCCCAGGCGTATGTGACACCCTAGGCGAATCCGACATCGACATAACATGAGAGAGATGCTGAGTATATAAGTAAATAAGCCTTAGACTCTAGTTATTAAAAGCGTACAATATCACTAGTGGGCTGAACTGTTACATATAGTATGAGAGCCACTCTGCGTGCAACCTTGAACAGTGGTGGGATAAACCTCAGCGAGGATGCCGAGTCCCTAAAGGGGGTGTATGTGACATCCTAGGCAAATCACACATCGACAAAACACGAGAGAGATGCTGGGTATATAAGTAAACAAGACTTAGACTCTAGTGACGCGTTTTAAAGTTGTGTGAGCCTGCGCCCAAACCGCACAATATCACTTGTGCGTCGGGCTGTTACATATGGTATCAGAGTTACTCTGCGTGCAACCTTGAACAGTGGTAGGGCAAACCTCACCGAGTATGCTGAGTCCCTAAGAGGGGGTGTATATGACACCTTAGGCGAACATCGATATAACACGAGAGCAATGTTGGGTATATAAGTAAACAAGCCTTAGACTCTAGTGACGCGTTTTAAAGTCGCACGGGCATGGGCCCAAAGCGCACAACATCACTAGTGGGCTGAGCTTTTACATATGTTATCAGAGCACTTCACGTGCAACCTTGAACAATGGTGGGGTAAACCTTAGCGAGGACGTTAAGTCTCTATGAGGGGTGTATGTGATACCAGGCAAATTCCACATCGACAAAACATGAAAGAGATTTTGGATATATAAATAGACAGGCCTTAGACTCTAGTGACGCGTGTTAAAGCCGTACGGGCTTAGGCCCAAAGCGGACAATGTCACTAGTGCGAGCTGGGTTGTTACATTTGACAACTATCTAAATTGGAAATAGGTTCCATAATAGCGCCAAAGAAATGCTTAACAACAAATACAGGAAAAAACAAAAGTAAAGGAAGTTCACTCAGTCAAACAAGAAGCTAACCTCTTCTACACACTCACTTTCAAAGCAATTAGTAACAAGCTTTTTTTTAATAACCGTGGTGTCCAGCCAGTTTGATCGCACCTTACTAGTTTCACAGGTACCTTACCTACTACCAGCACAGTTACACGATAGCTCAGGAGCAATTAATAATAAGCTTTGCAATTATATTATGTTTTTTCTTGCAATAAATGAAAGGAAAGTATTCGTTCGGCATGCACTATGGCCTAAATTGAAAATAGCCAAGCAACAAATGAAAACAAAATTGAAAAGAATTCAAACAGAAATCACCCTAAATCAATTTTAGTGCCCCAGAAAACGCGAAAATAATGGAACACATCCAATTATTAAACAGTAGAAAGCCCCAAAAAATTCACAAATTCGAGATTAAATTGGAGAAAATCGAGCATTAACTTGCATTTTCGTAGGGTAGGGGGAAGGGGAAAGAAAGAAATGTAGAAACATATGTCAGATGGTGCAAGAAAGAATCGAACTACACTGAAGAAATGGAAATTTGGTACCAGCGATTTGTACGAAGCTGGCTGATTCTTCAATGTTCCCGAGCGAGTGATGAAATCGGGCTACAGCTTTTCTTTTGTGTGTTGCGACTAAGAAAATTAGAATACTTATAAAGGAAAAGCCAAAAAAAAAAAAAATGAGGAAAGGGCCAAATTTAACCGTTCCTTTCTAATATTGTCTATAATCTATACAACAACAACCACAACAACCCGCTAAAATCTCACTAATAGGGTTGAGAAGGGTACTGTATACGCAGACATTATCCCTAGCCCATAGGAATAGAGAGGCTATTTCCGAAAGATAAAAGGACAAAAGGAGACAACATTAGTATCACCACAAAAATCATACGAAAAATAGGAACAACATAAAATCCAGAAGAAAGGTGCAATGCAATAGCGATAGCTATTAAATAGGTCCTGCACTAAAAAGCGAAATAGTAAGACACAACATTGTCACTAGCTATCTTAAACAAAAACCCTACCTAGCTAGTCCCACAATGGTACGAAGTAAGGCAACAGTCAACTACCTCCTAACCTACAACCTTAATACTCGACCTCCACATCTCCCTATCAAGTGTCATGTCCTCGAAAATTTGAAGCCTCGCCATATCCTGCCTGATCACCTCTCCCCAACACTTCTTAGGCCGCTCTCTACCTCTTCTCGTGACCTCCAAAACTAGCCGCTCACACCTCCGTACCGGAGCATCTAGGCTTCTCCTCTGAACATGTCAGAATCATCTAAGCCTCGCTTCCCGCATCTTATCATCAATGGGAGCCACGTGCACTTTCTTCCTAATATCATCATTCATAATCTTATCTATCCTAGTATGCCCGCACATCCACCTCAACATCCTTATTTCTGCTATTTTCATCTTCTGGATATGTGAGTTCTTAACAGGCCAACGCTCAGCCCTATATATCGTTGCCAGTCTAACCACCACTTTATAGAACTTACCTTTTAGTATCGGTGGTACTCTCTTGTCACACAGGACTCCAGATGCTAACCTCCACTTCATCTATCCTACCACAATGTGGTGTGTGATATCCTCATCGATTTCCCCTTCCCCCTGGATAACCGAACCAAGCTACTTGAAGCTGCCTCTACTTGGGATGACCTGTGATCCAAGCCTCACATCCACGCCCACTTCTCCCGGCTCAGCGCTGAACTTACACTCCAAGTACTTCATCTTCGTCCTGCTCAGCTTGAAATCCTTTGACACAAGATCCTGTCTCCAAACCTCCAGCTTCTTGTTAACACCGGCTCGCGACTCATCAATCAGAACTATGTCATCAGCGAATAGCATGTACCATGGCACTTCCCCTTGAATATGGTGTGTTAACGCGTCCATCACCAGGGCGAATAAGAACGGACTGAGTGCAGAACCTTGGTGTAACCCCATTACAACTGAAAAATGCTCAGAGCGCCTCATACTGTCCTGACCCGAGTCTTAGCCCCATCATATATGTCCTTAATCGCCATAGAACTTCTTTAGAAACCTTGTCATACGCTTTCTCTAGGTCAATAAATTTCTAATATTGTCTATATTTACCTTATATTGTACTATTCGGTAAAATATACTCGTACCGATAATATTTTCCGACTAAATTTACCCTTTGTCCAAAAAACTTTTAAAAATTACTCCCATTCCTAATATTTATCAAAATATCTCAAATTGTTCTTCTTTTTGAATCAAAGAATTGCTTGGAAGAAAACTGCCAATTGTTGATTTATGTGCAGGAACCTCTATCATTCGGTGGCTCAAAGAAATATAACAGTTTTACCAAATGGTATTTTAGTCATAGCTCAACTTTCATTTGTGTTGTGAGCATATAATTCAACATGGAAAAGTATTAGAGTTACAGAATTACGTCAATTAGCAATTAATTGATACATGTAAAATCTTTAAAATAATAACATGATAAAAATGGTAAGTATTACTATCAATTGAATAAAGAAAATAATGTAAGAGAAGGGATAAGAACTGATTTTTTCAATACCCTTTCAAAAGTAATATTAAGTTTAGGGTAATTTTTAAAGATTTGCTAGAGACATGGATAAATTTGGTCAGATATTATAATAATATGCATAAATTTGGTCGGATAGTATATCAGAGGATAAATATGGATAATAATCAAAATTAGAAAGGTGATTTTGATCATTTTCCCAACTTATATTATCAACTATAAATAGGAGGAAACTCTGGAAAAAATGGGAGGGAATGGGAAAAAAACATGTTATTTTTTATTCAGTAGAAACATTAGATTTTTTGATAATTAATAAAAGTCATCACCAAAGGTCGTTTGGTTAATGTACAAGTTATATTGAGATTATAATTACTGAGGTATAATAAAACAATTGAATAATGACAGATTATTTAATGGAACTGTAGATGTTTAGTTCATTGGACAAAAAATAAAATATACAAGGTATAACATAAAAAATATGTTTGGTTTTACACTAGATAACATTTATTTTCAGTTTTGTGAGGCTTTTGTTGAAGATAGAATGTAACACCCTAGAAAATTTTGAAGTATTTAAGAACATTAATAAGATTGGCGGGTGCTAATTATATTAATTCGGATATAAACAGGATTAATAATATAAATGATATTAATTGATCATGATAATACATGTATGAGGTACATTAAGAATGGTTTATGGTCCAAGAAGAGCCCTAAGGCTCAGTTAAATTAAAAATTATATGATGGGGTAAAATTTCAAGTGAGTTCGTACAAGACTTAACTTCAAACAAGCATAAATCTCAATATATGAAGATTTATATGGTGTATGACCAATCAAATGAAAGGTCTATGTGATTAGTTTCTAATGCTTCAAATAGTTTATCATTTGAACATTTTTACAAGAAGTTATGACCTTTTTACTAAAGGATAGCAGAACAATTATGAAAGTCTTGCGTAGCCCACGCAGCATTGTAGCGTAGCCTATGTACCATGCGTAGGCAAATCCAGCAACTGCCAATTGAAGAGGAATGGCAAGCCACCCTGTGTAGCCTACGTGTGTAGCCTACGCATAGGGCTACACACCCATCATACCCATTTTTAAAATGTAGAAAAAAGGGGTTTAGAGAGAGAAATAGTTAGTTCTTCAACGTGGAATTAATTTCTGGAGAGAAGGAGGAGCTCTTTGATAACTAGGGATTCTAATTAATTTTACACTCTTTTTTTACTTGAGTTTTGATTAAAAATGTATACAAAATAGTCCCAAAGGCTTACATGTTGTACTTGTTTGCAGGGTTTGGTTAAAAAGGTGACAATTAGTCAAAACCAGCTCAAAAATGAGTGAAACATGCACAAGTACCAAGAACAAGTCAAAGCATAGCTGCAACAGACCTACTGCGGCCGCAATCCATTTAGTGCAGTCCGCAATGAGGAGATTCAGAGAGGTGCACTTTTGGAGCCTAAGGCAATGCGGTCCACGAAGGATTTCTTGTGGCCGCAGTAGCCTCTCCGCGGCCGCAATCCATTTTGTGTGGTCCGCGGAGAGGGGGGTTCAGAGAGTTGGGAGTTTGAAGATAAAAGCCAATGCAGTCCGCGGTCCTTTTTGTGCGGACCGCAGTTGAAGCCACTGCGACCGCGGTGGCCAGATTCAGAGAGTGAATAGTCAAGCCAAGAAGCTTCATCGCGGTCCGCGGTGCATTTTATGCGGACCGCAGTACCTCGTCAGGGGTATTTTTGTCCAGAAAATTCGGCCTAGTATAAATACTTTCTTTCACATTTTTAGGGCATCTTTTGTAATCTGTTAGACTCCAGAGCACGTGAACGGCTGTTTTGTTATATTTTGAGTAATTTGTAGCTCCTTTAACACTGAATCTTCATTATCTTAGTTTGTAATTAAATCTTATGGGTTATTGTTCATCTATTTTTCTGATTTCTTCCATTATTATGAGTAGCTAGACCCATTAGCTAGGGTTGCGGCTCAACCCTAGTGTGGGTATTTGATGGGTCTTTTGATTTAAGGCTTAAATGTTTATGGGTAGTTAATATTTGGACTGATTTGTGTTTTTCATGTTGAATTAATAGTTGCAAACACTAATTTGTGCCTATTTGACTTGGGTTCTTCTTGAGAAAGAGAGCTTTATTCTAGAAAAATCAGCCCAACAAGGAATTGGGGTGTAATCAAGAGATTGATAGCGCCAGTTAAAGGGTTAAACCAAGAGATAGTAATACCCGACTTGAGCCTATATTGCTTGCACAATTTTAACACCCAATTGGTCTTGAGAAAGTCAATTAGGGCAAAGTCACTCAAGTTACCGAGAGGTATAGAGTGAGTAATTCCGTGCATTGGCTATATCGCAATCCCCAACAAAACTTCTTTGCCTTAGGCTTTAGATCCCGTAAAATATTCACCTAGGAGAAAGTCACTTCCCTAGTGCCTTTTTAACTATTTTGAAAACCTTACAAGTAATCATTCTTAGTTCACTTAGATTATCATTAGCATAAATATTAGAAGTAACAACTAACCAAAAGATGATTGAAAGTGTAATTAAGAGCACTACGCACTACTAGCTTAGATAAGAATCCAATTCCCACTTCTAGCTCCCTGTGGATTTGATCCCGACCATCTCGGATAAAAGCTATTTCGATCGCTCTCGCCGCTTTGTAGTAATGTAGGGTTGACACCGATCACTTTTTGGCGCCGTTGCTAGGGAGCTAACGGTTTTGGCTATCTATCTAAATAGTTTTGTGTATTATTCTTCTTTCCTTTTGCGTTACTAATTTGTGTGTGTCACAAATTCAAGTACAAAATGGCAGCAAACAACGCACCTCCTGGAGATCTTCCGCCGGAAGAGGAGGTAGATGACAATATTGATGATGAGGTTCCTATTGTACCTAAAGGACAAAGGAGAGGTTGCCAGGCCAATGATAATATTTCAGACCCTCCCCCGCCACCTCCAAGATTGGCTCCTCGAGTGCTTCCCAACCAAGGATATGCTAGTGTAATTGTCCCACCCCGAATCCGGGAGGACAATTTTCAAATTACAAATATGATGCTGACGTTTTTGGAGCAGCGAGGGTATTTCACGGGTGCTCCCCATCAGAATGCTTACAA